CAAGACTCCCCTGGCAGTGCAGTGGTTAAGAATCTGCCTGCCAATACAGGGGACATGGGTTCGAGCCCAGGTCCGGGAAGATCCCACACGCCACAGAGCAACAAAGCCTGCGAGCCACAACTACTGAAACCCATGCACCTAGAGCCTGTGCTCTGCAACAAGAAAAGCCACCGCAATGAGAAGCCCGCGCACCACAACAAAGAGTAGGCCCCGCTTGCCACAACTAGAGAAAGCCCACACGCAGCAACGAAGACCCAACACAGCCAAAAATAAATAAATAAATAAATATTTTAAAATTATTTTTTAAAAAAAGGAAAAGAAATGAGCTATCAAGCCATGAAAAGACTTGGAGGAAAATTAAATGCATATCACTAAGTAAAAGAAGCCAATCTGAAAAGGCTACATACTGTGTGATTCTGGCCATATGACATTCTGGGAAAAGCAAAACTAGGGAGACAGTGAAAAGATCAGTGGATGCCAGAGATTTGTGGGGAGGGAGAGATGAATAGGCAGAGCACACAGTGAAACTATTCTGTATGATATTACAATGGTGGATACAGATTACTATGCATTTGTCAAAACCTATAGACTGGACAACACCTAGAGTGAACCCTAACGTAAACTAGAGACTTTGGATAATAAGGATGTGAAAATGTAGGTTCATCACTTGTAACAGAGGTACTGCTGTGGTACATGGATGTCTACTGTGGGGGAGGGTGAGTCTGTGTGAGGGGAGGGATATATAAAAACTCTCTGTACTTTCTGCTCTTTTGCCTGGGAACCTAAAACTGCTCTAAAAAATAAAGTTCATTAGATAAAAAAAAAAAGTTTGGAAAGCAATGTGACAGGGGTCAAGGAGGGTCCAGAAGGTGAGTCTGGCAGAAGAGATCAGGAAATTCAAAGATTGGGCAGACAACAGGCCAAATAGCAGAGAGGCAATCAAGGATGGAATGATCACCAGGTTCTGTTTAGGTCTGTACAGACAAGAGGTGGTCAGTGCAAGTAGGGAGAAGGGAACAAGTATTGGATCTGGATGGGCAGGCAGTATCCTAAAGGAAGCAGCAGTGGTGGGTGGAATTGGCAGGCTCTGATCCCAGAGCCAAACCATTTGCTCTTTACCCTGTTCTAAACATTCTTCCAGAGGCTGGGGGCTGGTCCCCCAATGGCTCATGCTGAGCTGAGGACAGAGATGCCAGGTTACGTGAGAGTTTCCACCATTGTTTCCTTCCTTCTCTGTTTTATTTCCTTGTCAAGGTACTGGCCACAGGTCTACCCATAAGAAAACTAATGTTAGCTCCAGAGAAATGAAGGGCTTCTGAAGAAATCCCAGCAAAGAAGAACTTGATGTATAAAGTCTCCTGCATGGAATTCCCTGGCTGTCCAGTGGTTACGACTCTCAGCTTCCACTGTAGGGGGCTCGGGTTTGATCCCTGGTGGGGGAACTAAGATCCCACATGCCGCACAGTGTGGCAAAAAAAAAAAAAAAGTCTCCTTCACTTTACTGAACTCCTTAAGGACAGAGCCCCAACTATAAAAGGCTTAATCAATAAGGCAAAGTTGTTATTCCTCATAAGCACATTAGCAATGAAACAGTTCCAGGGGAGGTTAATTCAGTGACAGCTTCTTTCTTCCTTTTTTTAAACTTTACCCTTTTTCCAATCTCTTTCTATTCCCCACCCTCCACCCCCCAGTCCCTGGCAACCACTTTTCTACTCTGTTTCTATGAATTTAACTTTATATTTAGAGTCCGCATATAAGTGGTACCATGCAGTATTTGTTTTTCTCTGTCTGACTTATTTCACCTAGCATAATGCCCTCAAGGTCCATCCATGTTGTTGCAAACATCAGAATTTTCTTCTTTCTTGGACACTTAGCTTGTTTCCATATCTTGGCTATTGTGAATAATGCTGCAGTGAACATGGGAGTGCAGGTCTCTCGTCAATACCTGGTATTCATTTCCTTTAGATATACATATATACCCAGAAGTGGGATTGCTGGATCATAGAGTAGTAGTTCTATTTTTAATTTTTGAGGAACTTCCATACTATTTTCCACTGGGACAGGTTCTTTTCCTCTCTCTGCTCTGCTGCCCTGGCTTACTCCCTGAGGCTGGTTCCCCTCACGGCTGTAATAGGCTGGATGCTGCAGTCCCTGGCACCATATGAAGAAAATCCAACAATATTGAGGGATGAAGAGAACATTTTCTCCCATGTGTTTCTTTTTATCATCAGAAAAACTCTTCTCCCAGTCACAAGACGACACAATTCCCCTTATGTGAGGAGCTAGAATAGCCAAACTCACAGAGACAGAAAGTGGAATGGTGGTTTCAGGGGCTGAGGAGAGGGGAGAATGTGAAGTTGGTATTTAATAGGTACAGAGTTTCAGCTGGGGAAGATGAAAGAGTTCTGGAGATGGAAATGGTGGTAATGTCTGAACAACAGTGTGTATATTCTTAATGTCACAGAACTGTACACTTAAAATGGTCAAAAATGGTGACATTTTTAAATTGAGATATAACTGACATATAACATTGTATTAGTTTCAGGTATACAACATAATGATTCTATATACGTATGCAGTACATGATGATCACCATTGTAAGTGTAGTTAATGTCCATCACCACACACAGTTACAATTTTTTTTCCTGTGATGAAAACTTTTAAAATCAAGTCTCTTAGCAACTTTCAAATATACAATACAGTGTTATTAAATATAGTCACCATGCTGTACATTACATCCCCAGGACTTATTTATTACAACTAGAAGTCTGTACTTTTTGACTACCTTCACCCATTTCACCCACCCCCCCCAACCAAAAATGGTAAATTTTATGTTATGTACATTTTATCACAAGTTTAAAAAAATGTTTTCTCAGAAGCCCCACAGTAAATCTCCTCTCACATTTCATAGGCCAGAATTCTGCCACCTGCCCATTCCTAAACCAATGATAATGGCAACAATAATAAAATTACTGTGGTTGGCTTGGTCTAATCAAGATTCACCACCCTGGGCTTCCCTGGTGGCGCAGTGGTTGAGAGTCCACCTGCCGATGCAGGGGACACAGGTTCGTGCCCCGGTCCGGGAAGATCCCACATGCCGCGGAGCAGCTGGGCCCGTGAGCCATGGCCGCTGGGCCTGCGTGTCCGGAGCCTGTGCTCCACAACGGGAGAGGCCACAACAGTGAGAGGCCCGCGTACCGCAAAAAAACAAAAACCAAACCAAAAAAAAGATTCACCAGCCTTGTGACTAAGGGGGTGGGTAGACCCAGAGTCCCCTGAAGCACACAGCTGCCCAATGCTCAAACAATATTTGGATTTAGATTCTGTTAATGAGGAAAAAATAGCGGGGGTGGGGAGGTACTGGGGAGGATGGCCACTGGGTAGGATACAAAGACCCTAGCAAGGTTTTCCCACTGAGGCAAGGAAGGACTTGATTCCTTCAGGACACCCAAACTTTTCTGAAAATTCATGTGAGACTTACTGACTCCAACCCCCAGGAGGCCTTGGGGACTCATACTCTCAGGTCTGTCCCTTTCCCTTTTCACTCCAAGGACAGACATTGTAATCCCATCACTTCACATCTGACTATGATACCAGTCTCCTGAGGGACATCTCTGCCTCTGGTTTCATTCCCATTTGGATCCATCTTAAACACCAGTGCTAGAATAACTTACAGAACCAACACCTCACATATGTCCAAACTGCTTACCAGGCTGGCTAGAACCCTTTTGCAAGCCTCGTTTTCAGTCTCCCTACTAGTATGCTTCTTAGGGCAAGGATTTTGCCTTACTCATTTTATTCCTAATACCTGGAATAGTGCTGATCATTCATTCATAGGTTTTGCCCATTCAATGTATATTTATGGTGTTCAGCAAATATTGAATAAGTAAATAAATTATTCAATGAATGAATAAATCCATGACCTGACTCTTACCAGTTTGTGCCATTTTTCTTTTTCTCACATGAATCTTTTGTTGAGAGAAAGTCAACAAAATACTCACTCATTGTTACCTGACCACATCATGTACCTTGCCAACCGCTCCTGTGAATTTACCCACACAATTTCTCCAGTTTGTAATGTTCTTCTCTCTTCTCTGATAATCAGAGACCTACATTTCCTTTAAGGCCAAGACCAAATCCCACCTTCAATGTGAGTGCTTCTCAGTTATCCAAGGCTTCAGTGACCTACTCTCTCATCATCTATGATTTTTACGGTCTGTATCTACTCAGCACACATTTTTTTTTTTTTTTTTTTTTTTTTTTTTGCGGTATGTGGGCCTCTCACAGGCTCCGGACGCGCAGGCTCAACGGCCATGGCTCACGGGCCCAGCTGCTCCACGGCATGTGGGATCCTCCCGAAACGGGGCACGAACCCGCGTCTCCTGCATCGGCAGG